CTCTACCCCCACCACCCCCGCCACTGAGTCTCCATCTCTTCCTGAGTCTCCCTGCCTCTTGCCGCCCCTCTCCTGGTGACTCCGCCCCCAGAGGGATGAGCCATACACCTTCAGGGACCCAGACCCGCCCCTCCCCCCCGCGGGCGGTTAAGAGGCCATGGGCAGCTGGACGACCAAGGTCTCTGACTTCCTCTTCCAGGAAGTCCTCCTCCACCCCATTCTCCGAGGATAATCCACTTCTCTCCTTGGGCCACGTTCCCTAGAGGCAGGGTTGTGGGGAAGAGTCCTGCCCAGTCACAGCGCCAAAGGATCCCTTGACTGGAGGCTGTAGCTTGAGATCTGGCACCCAGGCAATTTCTCTATGCTTCTATTTCTCTAAATACCTTGTGGAGATATCTGGAAGAACAGCTCTCACCAAGGTGGGGCATGAAGGGTTACTCTGAGATTGGGAGTCATTAATTTGAGCGCCTACTATATACCAGGCCCAGTGCTAGGCAATATACTCATTTTACCTCAATTCTCATACCACTGACTGAGGCAAAAATCATCCCCCCAGGTTATGGATTAGGAAATGAAGATCCAAGAAGTTCTGGGACTTGCCCAAAATTACAAAGCCAGTATTGGGCAAACTTGGGATTGGAACCCAAATCTTGGCAAGTTATAGAATCTCCAGCCCACCCCCATACTGGACCTTTACTCTGCTTCTCTAGGAAAGACTCTACTACTGTGTCTTCCTGACAAGGTTAAGGCAAGTTGCTTTCTGGGAGGGGAGGACAGGGCCAAACCTTGGGCAGAACTTCTTGGCCCCCAATTCATATGGAGTATAAAAACACTGGAGAGGACAGACTATAAGGCTCTCTTCTCAACTTGACAGCAGGGGTGTCTCTCAGACAGCAGAGGGCCACAGAGAAAAGGGGAGGTCCAGGCATCCTTCTAGACCTTAAAGCAGCTAGGTGGAACACAGGACAAGGGGACTGGCATCTGACCACTGGACAAGGGACTAGGGGCCCCACCCTTTCCATTAACCCAGGCCTGAGGTCTTTGAAATGACTTGGAAAGGGCTAAAATTACAGGGCCTGGTCCCTCCACTGCACTAGAATCTAATGATCCACACCTCAACCCCCAGCCTCCCTCCTCCAGAACATGCTGCCTCAACACAGCTCTGAGGCCCACAGCACTGTGGCCTGAGACCCAGGGACCTCTCCACCCGTTTCAGATCCCCACTCCCTATGAGACTGAAGATCGCATAGTAGAACCCTCTGACCCCTGATCTAGCACCTCTGGCCAGACCTGCTCCTTCTCTTAGAGAAGTGAAATGTAGCCTAATAGCCTGGAGAGAATGGCAGAATGAACAAGCAACAAGGACAGGTGGTTGGATGAAGAGTGAACTAATGAACAGACACAAAGGGAACAGAACACACCATAGACAGAGAAGGGGGTAACAACCCACCTCGCAGCTACACATGGGGAGATGAGGGGATGCCTAAAGGAGCAAAGGTCAGGCGATCAATGATAAAATTAACAAAATGAACCATAGAACAAAGTAACCAAGGGTTGTGCTGTGGGCAAGTGGAAAGCACGCACAACGACTAACCAGCTGAGGCTGTGGGATCGTTTATTAGGGCTGTGTCCAGCCAGGCTGCAGCGCCAACCTGGGCTCAAGCCCAGTGTCTCCACGAGGCTCAGGGGGTGGGGGAGGGGAGAAAGCGCAGGAGGACCCGCCACCTCCGGGCTCCGCCCTGTCTTGTCTGGGTCCCTGTAGTGATTTTGCGCTCAGGTGAGCGAGGTGTCATCGTCGCTGCCCTCGCCACCCGCGCCTCCCAAGCGCTCCTCCCGGCTCTCTGCCACCGAGCTCTCATCGATGTTCTCCAGCGAGTCCGCATGCTGCACCGACAGCTCTGACAGCGCCAAGCTTGGCAACGGGCTCTGCTCCGGGTGTAGCCAGGGCTTGAAGTGCGGCTGATGCTTCTGCTTCCATTCAGGGTACTTAACGCACGCCTTGTACATCTTCTTCATGGCCTGTAGACCCACCGTACGGACGAGTCAGGGGTGAATCGGCGCAAGACAGTCTTCACTGCTTCGTCTCTTTCCCCTCCCACGCCCTCCACCAACTCTGCCCCCAGCTCCCAGCATCCTGACCCTTGCAGCAGTTTTATAACTCCACCCCTCGGCCCTAACTCCGCCTCCTGACTCCACCCCCTCAACCCAGAACCCTCTTCGCCAGCCTCCACACCTCCAAAGTCCCAAAGCCACTCACCTTGGGAGCCAGGAACTGAGAAGATTTATTCACCACCCACTTGGGTAAGGAGCCTATGAGGGTAGGGAAGGGTATTGAGGAGAGAAGGGAAGAAGCTGCCTCAGGGACCCAGTCACTTTCCTCCAGCCTGGGGTTTCTAGGGAGGCCACCCTCTTCTCCAAGGGGAGGGCGTGAGACAAATCTTATAAGACTGCATCATCCTCACTCCCTCTTTCCACTTCAGACCAAGGTCCTAAGGCTCAAGTCTGTGCCCCTCCCCCACGCTGAGCCCCAGAGAGCTGCATGGAAGAAAACCACAGGATCCTAGGTGACCACAGGCTACATATGAGTCGAAATCCTGACCAACTGCCTCCCTTTCATTCATACTGACATCCCTTCTCATACCCAATCCCTCAATGGTGAATGACCCTAATGCTCAGTCCCTCCTCTACCTGTCCTTCCAAGCCCCTGTCCCAGGAAGCCTAGCTGCTACATAGACCTCTTGGCTGAGCACCCTAGCCTGGCCTGATCTGGAACCCACAGACTAGTTCTCCATCCTGTCTCATTCTAAAGTGTCTGCTCTTCCTCTAACACCCAACACATTCATTCAATGAGATGCTGGGGAGCCCTGAACCTGGACCAGGGCCCTCAGTGGGGCTTAGAATATACCCAGGCAAAGGTGTTCAGGGTTTACCCATCCTCCATTCATTCATTCATTCATTCACTCACTCTACATTCATTCAGTGATACCCACCCTGGGCCAGCCCTGGGGACCCAGAGAGGAACTCACTGTCTGGGGGGCCCAACAGTGTGCCAAGTGCTCAGCTAGAGGGGGATGGGCACACAGCAGGGAGCCAGCAACTCCTCTGGGTATCAGGGATAGAGGAGGTGACATCTTATGCAGCCCTGGAGGAATGAGTAAGGGAGGAGAGGTGTTTCAAGGCTGAGGGATAGAGATGCCTAGACAGGGAGGGGGGAACATGTAAAAGGTGTGAGGAAGGACTGGGAAACCTGAGGAGGCAGCTTAAACTACACTTTGAGGGCAATAGAAAGTCATGGAAGAATTCTAAGCAGAAAAGAGTTATGAGGAAATAAGTGTTTTGGAAAAATCCTCCTGGTAACTGTATGAACAGACAAGGTGGCTGAGTATGGAGAGAAATGACAGATTCAGGAGCTATTTAGGAAGTAGAATCAATAAGAACTGGTGACTAGATTTGGAAGCTGAGAAGAGGGGGAGCCTCAGATGACCCCCAGGTTCTTGGCATGGATGACTGGAGGGGAAACTTAGGAGAAGGGGCAACTTAGGAAGAGAGATGGTAACTTCAGCATTGAACACACTAAGTCTCAGGCCCTAGAAGACCTGAGGGACATGTCCAGGAGGCCAGTGGTCACGAGGATCTGGATCTCAGCAAAGAGAGAGACATGTGGTCAGTTAGCTATAGAAGCCTTGGGAGTGGCTGAGCCCTCCCAAGAGAAAGGGGACTGAGGCCTGGGAAACTCAGGTTTCCAGGATGGCCAGCAAGAAAGGATGGGAGCAGCCAGTGAGTTGGGAGCAAGTCAGAGCACAGGGGTGTGGGCACCCAAAGAGAGAGCTCCAAGCTTCATCATGGAGCAGTGGCACCACCTTGGCCTTTGCTTTTCAAATCATTATAAACCTTGGTTCAAATGATGTTTTTGATGACTATGCCCCAAAATACAAAACACCTTCTAATAGAGGCCCTTCTGGATCCCAAGCAGATCAAGCCCCACCCTCTGTGGTATAGGGAGGGATCCCATGATAGGCTGCCAGGGCCAAGCCCTCACCTTTGGGGTCCACCTGGGCCAGGTAAGTGATGACGCAGCTCTTGGGCCCCGTGCTCTGGATGAGGTAGCCCGTCTGGATGGACACAGCTCGGACCAAGTCTTTCCGAGGTGGGTATTTCTGGGAATGGAAGGCACAGGGAGGTGAGACTCAGGGTGGATGCAAGAGGAGGTGTCTTTGTGAGTACACACACACACACACACACACACACACACACACACACACACACACCACACAATTAGTTTGCATCTCCTGGCATCTACTCCAGGCAAGGCCTGATGGTAGAGTAAGGAGAAAGGAAGGAGTCAGACTAGGTCATCCTTGCCCTCTTAAGATTTCCCTGTTGCCCTCCAGAAAGACCCCAGTCTGAGGTCAGGGTTCATGAGCACACACACAGGCATGCGCCACACACACACACACACACACACACACACACACACACACACACACACGAGTCTCTCATCCTTGCCCAGGCCAACTATACCTGCCTGTCTTGCCTGTCATGGAGATCAAGGCAGCCCAGCCTCAGGGAGGCCAGAGCCCAACCAATATTAGCCCATCCCACCCCCACTCACCCATAGTGACAGCCCACACTGCCTTCTTCTCAGCTGCTTGAGAGCACCAGCAGACAGACAGGAGCCCTTATTCTCACTATATAGGAAGGAAACTGAGGGCTAGAGGATTTCACGCCTGGCCTGAAGTAACAGGGAGTCATGATAGCAACCAGGAGACTCTCCCTGGGGTCTGGGCCTATTGGCCCAGCCCTACCTGCCACCTTCTCCTGCCCACCCAGCAGGTAAGGCAGGTTCACTCACAGG